GTAAAAATAATTATTATTGGCCCAATGACCATGATGGCTCCTTTTGGAGCTGATTAATGTCAACATTGTAAATAGCTATTTAACAAAAAACTGTGTGTGGGGGTTTTACCATATGAAGTTAGATTTAAACATTTTTTTTTCAGCTTAAATGGACTTTTAGAAATGTTGATCAATCCTTCTATAGTCATAGTGGTTTACACAGCTCTGTTATATTTTATTATCCGAGTGTTTTTCCCTTAATAAAGTCAACCATCATGCTTAAACAACAGTTGAGGAAAATGTCATCTACTTGTTAGAGAGACAGACAGACAGACTCGGGCAGCCCTTTTTTGGATTTGCTTCTGGCATACTCACATTTTGGTTTGCCAAGGACAAAATCAAAACCATCTTTGGTTTTTGTTTAGTATTTACACCCTATAGGAGCTTGGAATATTTCACACTTTCAGATGCCTCTGCTTACTTGTGACAGACAGACAGAAATTAAAAATAATTATGTCTTTTGCCCCTTTGTTTCCCTGCTTCTGGGTCTATGAGGGAAAAAAAATATAAAAACATACAAACTTTGCTCTCAACCTCGCCAAAATACATCTGATCACTCTTCCCCATTCATCCTCATCCCTGGTCAGCTTTTCTTAGCAGCTACCACGAAGGGCTACTCCCACTATGGGCCATTGAACCTCTGTAGACACATTGGGAAGGGCTGGTCAGTTTCTGCTGGCACCACCGTGACGTGTGCAGGAAAGTGACTTTCCACTTCTGGTTATAGAGAAATCAATGGCAGTTCTCACAGTATTTCCCCATTATCCAAACTGGGATCAAATATGTCCCTTTGTCTGGCTTTGTTTTTACACTGGAACCAATTGTTAAGTCTGTTTACTGTAAAGGTGAAGCCTATAATAAAGAATGTGGAAAATCATTCAAATATTACACAGAGAGGATTGCCAAACTTAGTTTATTTTAAGGCCACGTAATGTGTGAACTATAGAACATCTGTAGCTAGTTAATGGGATCTCATAGTCACATCAACACAGATAATGTGGAGTAGAGGCCAAAATGCTTCACTGCTCAATCTGTTTCCAATTTGATAGCTTTGAACTTGTTTGAATAGAGCTGGGCAAAACATTTGAGGAGACGTGCACAATTGGACATTAAAGGTTTAGAAAAGGGCTTTGCTTCGGTCAACCGACAGTACATAGGAGCTGCCACATCCATTAGACATGTGGTCCTATCATTTTGCCATCTCAGAGAAAGGTATCAGCATTACATACGACGTACAGGAAGATGATTGTACATACATCATTCTTGGCATGTTGCTTAATGTTGTTTATCAATGCATTCTTCTGTAGCAATAGCCAGCCAAATTCAATCAAGTCTGTATTGCTGGAAGAATCGTTTTGAAATAAAAGGCCTGGAGGTGTCAAGTATCAGATCATTCTTTAAAATATTGTGGGATTAGAAGTTGCTGGGGCCAGAACAACCAGCTCTTGCTAGTTAGTGTATTTTAGTCTATGCTTGGAGTGTGCGTTCAATGATGCTGATCTTCTGTGTGGAGAAAGGACACGGCTCTGTGGCTGCACCTCACTTTTTAAAAAATGAATCTGGAAAACCTCCCACTGTATACATCTGGCCTCTTCACTTGTATTTAGAAGGAGGAAATTTAACAGGAAAATGGCAAATACGATGAAGGTAACATGGGTCGGTTCACTTCGTCTTCCACAATTCTACACCCCCACTACTTAAAAGAACCAATATTTATTTATTTATTTTCAGTGTAAACATAATAAAACACACC